AATGTTTATAGAGTCCAGACTACCGTCAAAAGACTTGAAAAGCTATCAAAAACTGTTTTCTCAGCCCTTTCACTGTGTCAATCACTCAAGGTCAAGTCAAGTCAGATTTGCCCCAGCTGCCTAGGCAGGCTGACTTAATGACTTTCACGTGAGGTCAGGTCAAGACAGGAAATGGGGAGAGAAATAAATCAATGAGTGAATGTTCGTGAAAGCATAAAATCACGAACGCGCTAAATTCGTTGCAATTGAAACAATATAATTCTCTAATCACGAGAAAAAAAATAAATAAACACTTAATAAATGAACGATATTCATAATGTTTGACTTCATACGCAATCACACAGTAATGAGAGGTGAGGTCAGAAGAATGAGAGTGTGCCATTTGCTATAATTTAGCACTTTATCCGACAAACCTAACGTGAGCATGTCTGTACATATAGGGAGAGATGGAGAAGAAAGGAAAAAGAGAAGGGGCCCAAATGTGTACTCACGAGTTTGAAGATTTTCTTCGTTGTGTTTATAGTGGCGAGTGGATATCTTCGGAAAAGCTTGGTTCGAGTTGTGAGCCGAAAGGTCACAACTACCACCGCCTGCCACCTTATGTAAAGGGTATATATTGACCTCTTATACATTGGTGACAGGACAGTAAAAGCTTGGTGGCTTTAGAAACTCTTTATTCTGTAAGAGTTAAGCACACAAAAATTAATACACACACAAGAAATCTTGAAGGTATACTTGGGTCGCCTAAGGTCACGACGCGGCCCCAGCCCCCAGCGGGCAGAATGGCCGCGCCCAGGGATCAGACTTGACCCGACAGCGGCGGGGCACAAACTCTCCCTGATTTTGACTTGACCCGGTCACATGCGTTCCGATCTGCGGAGCGTGGGGAGGCGAAGGACCGCCCATCCGCTGGGGGGGCGCGCCACGCCGACAAGCGTGGTGTGGCGTGGGCTGTCCACGTGGCTAGCTTTTGGCGTGGTGGGCATCCACATGGCTAATGAACTGCCACGTGTCCTATACTGATTACTACACAGTATGTATATATATATATATATATATATATATATATATATATATATATATATATATATACATATATATATATATGTATATATATATACATAGATGTATAATATATATATGTATATATATATGTATATATATATTTATGCATATATACATATATGTATGTATATTTATATATACATATATATATTCATATTATATATATGTGTATATATGTATATATATTCATATATATATTCATAATCATATATATATATATATATATATATATATATATATATATATATATATATATATATATATATATATATACATATATATATATATATATATATACATATATATATATAAATATATATATATATATATATATAAGTATATATATATATATATATATATATATATATATATATATATATATATATATATATAATCATTTATATATATACATAGAAATATAGATATGAATTCATATACATGTATATATTCACATATATGCATACACATACACGTACACGCACACAAACACGCAAACATGTGCGTGTATGTATGCATATATATATGTATATATATATATATATATATATATATATATATATATATATATATATATATATATATACATACATATATATCTATCTATATATATACATCTATCTATATCTATATCTATATATATATCTATATATATATATATATATATATATATATATATATACAT